ACAATTTAATTACATTTTAGGTGAATGAAAATCGTCACAAAGCAATAAATTGGCTCTACATGTACATACTATTCCAGACATTTAAGTGTTAACAGATTTTTTAAAGCCAGGCTGTTTTATGTCCCTTTTTTTCTGTAGAAAAACGGTTGGGAAAATTCTAATATGGTTGGGAGAATTTATTGTTAATCACTGTTAGAGGGTGTTGCACAGTGACGCCTTCAAAGAAAATCATACATATCTTCGTGGTTTGAGATTTTTTTCCCAGGATTGTTTGCATGTCAGAGGGTTAGCACAGTAACAAAAATATTATAAGTAATATTTCATACAAAAATTAAGCAATTTTTTCATCAACCTTCAACAATGTTACCGAGTCACTCTAGATACATTTGTGTTTTAAGAATTTGTTTAGGATTTTGTGCATGTTAGAGGGTTAGTACAGTAGAAGGAATGTGATAAGTTAGATTTCATACAACAATTACGCAGTTTTTTCATCAACCTTCAACAATGTTACCAACGGCTTTCGATAAGATAAGAAAACCGACGACATAGCAGTTCTCATTCCATGCATGTTCAGAGTTATTGCTGAAGAAAAAATATGTAAGCTATAGACTTATCATTTAAAGGCAGTCTTAGTGGGTTATAAAGCGTGTTAGAGGGTTATATAGCAACCGAGTGTATACGTTGTGATTTTAGAATTAGAAAACTTCTGAAACTTTTTAAATTTTTGAAGTTGTAATCAGTGTAACACTAATTGACAACATTGTGCGAGCTCCTCTCCAACTTCCTCTATACAGAAAATATCATGAACTTCGTTTTCTTAGTTATTGCAGATGGAATAAATTTGTTTCATACAGGAGTTGTATAAAATCATATATTTGCAATAATTATATTTAGGGCCAATGTATGATTTCAAACTTCTTTAAGTGAAAATATATGTATTTGTTAGTACCTCACTAGCTACATCACAGAGTTGTTTCTTTAATTTATATTAGTCGCACCTTCCAAAATGCATAACTTTTTTTTTCAATCGATTTTTGCTCAATTTTCTACTGACCTGTTTATTTCCTTTTTTCTACTTCTATTAACACTATTCAAATATCAGGATGGAATTCTCCTTTATTAAGCATAGGAAATTGATTTTCATGTGGTCGGACGTTCTCTTCTAGGTTTGGCCTCCATAGATTTAATAATATAGCAACTAATTAACGTGATGATGATTGATCTAGTTCGGCCCTCAGAGAATCCAAGTTCCTTCCTATTTCCTGTTATTAGCAATGGCTGGTATGAGCATCAATACAAAGTAATCTTCTGGCAAAAACAAGTGCTAGAAAGAATGTGGAAAACATTATAAAAATTACTAATGCTTCGACATTAATGTTATGGTCGAAAATGGGAACTCATGGTTGACAAAGTTTCTATTCTAATTTTCTGTCTTTTTCAAGTAAATATATTCAATGTATTCATTCCTACCGCTTGACGAGTGGATATGTCACCGGACTGTGGATCACAAGGTCCGCGGTTCAAGTCCCACCGCGGCACTAATGTCGTTTGGCAAGACATTGATCTACATTTGCCACTCTCCACCCAGGTGTTAAATGGGTACCCGGTAGGATGCGAAAGCTAATGTGCTTAGATTAGCAAGTGTGCGCTTGTAAAAATGACGCCTGGCTGGAATGCTCCCCAGGGAGTGGAGAACGTGCATACATTGTGTGAGGGTAAGCCTGAATCGGATGACCGGGGTAACAATATATATATATATATATATATATATATATATATCTGTAAAGCGCTTTGAGAGGGCATTCGGTCTTGAAAAGCGTTATATATGAACTAGCTATTATTATTATTATTATTATTATTATTATTATTACCGAATAACTTTAAGGGCTTGGTTATAAAACGAGATATAATATTAATATTAACAAGCCATGATTGTAACCCATTTCCGTGTGAAGATTGGTTTAATCAAAACTGAAACTGCATTTGTAAGCACCCATTCATAATTACATGATAGTGGTACAAAGGCCAGTGTTGGTACAAAATAAGAGTCATTTTCAGTTGAGTACATTGTTTAAATCATGGGGCCCATATTTCGTCTAAACTTACTAAGCCTATGCGGCAAGTAAATTGCTCGCTAGTTGTTAACTAGGCACTAATAGGTATTCATTAATTGTTAATAAGCTTTAACTTGCAACTAGTCCATATGCATACCGCGAGGGTGGTAACTAAATTGTCCCTATTTCAACTAAATCTACCTTTAGTTGTAATGCTACATCAACATGATATTATACAAACTGATTGAATTTAGTTTGCAAATAAATTTCTTCCTAAAATTTAGAGATATTAATGAGTATATTTAAAGCTTATCTGCCGTAGTTTACAGGAGGGATTAAACTGCCCTGCAAGGTTACTGGACAGATGGTTTCTCATCAACTCAGCTCTCAGTTAACATAAGAAAAAGAGGATCATGGGGGACCAATGGTCACCGAATAGGCATTGTTTGTTATATAGAGGGCGCAAGTAGCTGCAAGTAGTGCAGTGGGCCTTTAAATCTCTAGATGGCAACTAGTCATTTCATCACCGAATGTCAGAAGCTCAGCAGTGGTCAGAACTTGATAGAATTGGTAGAGATTTGTAGCGGAAAGGGAAGAGAGAGCGTGAAATGTAGGGGGGGGGGGGGGTAGTGAGCACATTTTTTTTTTTTTTTATCCTCAAAAAATTTCAATTTGCACCCCCCCCCCCCTTGAGGGCCAGGGGGGGGGGGGGCCCAACCCCCCAAAAAGGTAAAAATCACGTGATTTTACATGATTTTTTTTTTTCAAGGGGGGGGGGGGCCGGCCCCCCCCCTGGATCCGTCACTGTTGCGCCGTACATACGTGTATACTATTCAACATTCAAATGTGTATCAAATAGGTCTATTATTTCAAATTCGCGAATCAAATTGTACGATTGGGGAGGTGTATGTCAGATAATATATATTAAATCAAATAATACAAAATCATCAATTTTGACATTCTTTCAATTGTTCAACCTAAAATGACTTTATTAGTTAAAATTGAAGAAGAAAAAAAAACCATAAAACGTGGCTTCCGCACCTGTCTCTCACCATGCCTTTTTTGCAAGAATTTCAGCAACGATGCCATGAATTACCTAACAAATGCCATGAAATATCTTTCTTTAGTATTTTCCGTTTTTATGATTGACTGTCTACTTTAATACAGAGTGCACCTCATAGTGTCACTAGCAAGGTTGGTGGTTATATTAGTAGGGGCACGTTCCCGCCAGTGTATTTATCGGAACATGCCATCTGCGTAAGAGCCGTATTCTGTTGGTGTCAATAGACAGCTATAGCGCCGTCCACCAGCGCGTTCTCATTTTGAGCGCCCTCTGGAGTACGGGGAACATGCCAATTTAAATGATTTAGAGCTAAAGGTGGCTGAACGTATGATGTTGCGGCAAAGCTCATGTCAAGGCTCTGCTGGGGAGTGTTTCACAAAGACTAAGATCGACTTTAAAGATGAAGTTGAGTTCTGGTCATGCGATTGCATTGTGAGAGAAACGGTGTGGAACCGACCAGAAAAGGTTGATCATCTAGCATATAAGAATTTGTGTGTATTGCAAGGTTCTGGAATCATCAACATGATAAGAAATGTGGCCAAGTCTTGGTAAAGTTATAAACACTTGCACAGAAAGATGTATATGGGACTACACGAACACGTGGCGTAAAAAGCCGGCCCCCGATTTTTACGATGTTACATGCATATTTAGAATATGAAGGCATTTGAAGAGCCAAGCTTTACAGGGAACATGTCTTAACTGATGTTCTTCCACACTTGCATAATAAGAATGAGTAATGCTCACAAATTATTTTTCACCTCTTCCCAGAACTCAACCTTCTCTTTAAGTTGGGCTTGATTATGGCAGGCTATTCATGCCACTGGTTGCTCTCACTATTGCTCTCACTGTTGGTCTCTTGGATTATGATCTTTAGTCATAATTTTTTCCTTCAATAATGAATTATCACAAAAATGTAAATTTTGTAGATTTATTACTGTTTGTTTCCGTCCCTTGAGTGACCAATGCCAGTAAATTATGAGAGCCAACAGTGGTATGAATGGCCCGCCATAGTTAAGTTCAACTTAAATTCGATCTTAGTCTTTGTGAAACACCCCCCAGCAGAGCCTTGACATGACAATGGTAGGAAAGTGAGATGCTCGAATGTTATTACTAATGAAAGGGAGGGGAGAAAAGTGGCAGGAATGTAAAGTCTGACATTTTGCTATTCCCTTTGTTAAACCAACCTCTCTGTCATCACTATGATTTAATTTAATAAATCAAAGTGGAATGGGTCTTGCTATAAGGGCAATGTGCCCTCCAGGGGGGTGTTTCACAAAGATCCAAAGTCAAACTTAACTCTAAGCTGGACTTAAAAATTATGGAGAGCCATTTGTAGCCTTAAAATAAAATATATTTAAAAGGGAAAATTCAAGTATTTTAGACTTTTTATAAATTCCACATCAAGAACATGAAATCTACCAAGATAATAGAAAATATGAATGATTTGAATCAACATTTTATGCCTTATAAAATAACGTTTACAAAACACTTTCAATGATGCTAACGGCTTTCCATAATTGTTAAGTCCAACTTAGAGATAAGTTCAACTTAGATTTTTTGTGAAACACCCCCCCAGGTCCTAGCTACACTCATCCAGAGTACCTCTTCCAACTGGAGAGGAGAAAATTTACCAAGGTATAACATATCTCCACCACCCAATCCCCCTTCCCGGAACATAAAAGTGGAGAAAATAGGTGAAAAATGAGAGGGAGGAGGATGAGGATAACGAGGGGAAAACGTTCTTCTGTTTTCAAGAGAGGTGCAATGTCCACTACCTGTTTCATTATTTTTGTGATAAAAACTAATTTAACACCATCTATGTAACTATCTTTATCTATAATTGGTTGTCTAGCGAAGGAGAGCCGTGATCATGGATACTTTGTTCAAGTTGTTGGTGACGATTATGCTAGCCTTGATAATCAGCCTGTTCGTCATATTTGACAAAGAAACATCTCCTCGGTTTAACCAGGACATAAAGTCTTCAAAGCAGGACTCACCTCGAACGGAGATCAACAGTGTCGGGCGACTGTACATGAACCTGACGAAACATGACGAAGAACAAAAGTAAACGATTTTCATCTTATTTCGCCAATCATTTCTTTCTATCTAGCTTGTTATTGATATATAAATATTGGCAGATCAAGGAAGGAAGCACTAGTCACTCTTCCCTCAAAACTGAATCTCCATGCTGCCGTGAAAAGACAAAGATCTTCTAGAAAAAACTGACGAAAAAGAGAGAAGGGAGGAAAAGAGACAGAAACGGAGAGAGAGAGAGTTTTCTCTAATAGACTGTCTATATATTAAAACTCTACTTAGACATCAGTGTAAAGAACCGCAGTCTCTTTCTTGTCACAAAGTCTAGTATAAGTATTTCGTTATCTTGGATCACACTTTACAGTAAAGTAACGTGTGCTTTGTCCACACACCATTCCTGCAATTTATGACACTCCTCGTAGTTACTCGCCTCGCCTACCATCCCAGTACAGCTTTCTGAGTGAGCTGCCAAGAGATTACGCAACCAAGTACCAAGTACTACATATTTCGAGCTTTATTTATTTTGTGTTGACTAAACCTCGAAGAACGAATCTTTTTTAATTTATTATTTATTTGTCTTTCTGATAAAGGAATAGTATGTTTTCATCACCTGTTTATATCTTTTGAATTTCTACCCAGGCACATCGTGTCGGGTAATAACACTTTAAGGCAAGTGGATGGACATTCATCATGGAAACAAGACGAGTTGAGGAAGCTGTCCTATGTTATACAGCAGAGACTCTATTTCCTTCAGGTAAAGTAACGGGCAGAGATGTAGCGAGGTATTTTTTTTCTCAAGATTGCCATGATATGTATATTTCATGTTATAGAAGATGTCATCAGGAAAATGGTCGGTCAATGCAAAACATGAACGCAAAAAAAGCAATTTAAAAATATTTGCGTCCCTATTTCAAATGTGTGAACAGTACAATGTGTATTATGTATTTATTTATTTATGCATACATATTTATACAGGTACACCAGATCAGAAATAAATTTGTTTTACATATTGGACCTGGTATTAAAAGCATAGTATAAAAAGAAGTAACAATGAGAATTGAGTATTCAGAATTCAAGTATAACAAAGTAAAATACAAAATAAATACAAAGTAATACAAAATATGGTAACATAGCAATACAGGTCCATAACAAAAATGATTATAAATATGAATATGTGTGAACAGTACAATGTGTATTAACCACCCATATCTCTACAAATCGTCCAGTCTCGATCAGCACGTACATCAAAGCAGCTTGGTCTTCACATGGGTGATCATTCTCTATTCCCTCTCTCAAGACGGCTTACAGAAAGAATGTACATCATTGAAACTGCTTTACAATAATAATAATAATAATAATAATAATAATAATAATAATAATAATAATAATAATGATAATAAAATAATATGGTTATTTATATAGCGCCGGTATCCGCCAGGTTCTGACGCTCATGGCGCTTTACACATACCCTGGTCGTAGCCGAGCTGCCAAAGTAACTAGCGCTCAAGCATATCAGGTACCCATTTACACCTGGGTGGAGAGTGGCAAATGTAGATTAACGTCTTGCCAAAGGACATTAGTGCTAAGGCGGGACTATCCACTTATCCACTAGTCCACAACACCTTTTTCGTTCTTTTTCCAGAACCCTCCAGACTGCACCAAGGCCAAGAAGATCTTATGCACCTTTAAAAAGACAAGCGGATTCGGTAGCAAGGTACACCATGTGTCGTTCTGCATGTTGATGGCGTACGGCAGTGGGAGGACCCTCGTTCTTGAGTCCGGCGAGGGATGGCACTATTCTAAGGAGGGATGGGAAAAGTTCTTCCGCCCTCTCAGTGACACTTGCCTTGATGGGACAGGAGAGACTACATCTTACAATAAGTGGCCAAGTAGGTTTCCCGGAATGGGACAGTTCATTCGTCCTGATAATAATGATGATAGTAATATACTACTACTAATAATAATGATGATAATAATAATAATAATAATAATAATAATAATAATAGTAACATTCATGATGATGATAACAAATTAATAATGATAATTATAATAAAAGTAATGATGAGGATGATAATGATTTTGTAAATGGATATGGTTGTTGCGCCTTAGGGCAGCTAGGCTAAAGCCAGGGTAATATTATCACTTTGTATAGGCTTTGAGCATCCTCTGTGATGGAAATATCCGCAATGAAATTGTAGATATTATACAAATAGTGAATTGTCATGAGTGCAATGGTACAACATTTTGCACGAGGTGAAAGATAAGAGACGCAATATTCAACGAGATGCAGCCGAGTTGAATGGAGCGTCTCATCTTTCACCGAATGCAAAATATTGTTCCATTGCACGAATAAAGGCCATTCACTATTTGTTTTATACAACACCTCGGACGTTAATGGGCTTAAAAAAGATTTTCTGGGCCTAAATCTTTTTGTTTGTTTTTAATTTATGAAATGGCCGATAGTGAGCGCGCACTATTAAGCAGGCAGCAAAGCATGCGCATACATGCGCCGCGCGTACAAAGATTTATGTTTAGTGTGACGCGGAGTGCAAGTTCGTTTGATCCTTTCGCACCATTGCACTCTGACGTCACTTAGCTCATCGTTAGTGAAGTCAGAGTGCAATACACCAGTTTACAGTTGTATCAGTGCGCATGAGCAGACAGAGGTCAGAGGTTATTGGCCCCAAAATTGGGGCCAATAACCTCTGACCTCTGGTATTTATGCGTAAAATAAGATTGCGCCCATGCAAATGATGATATGCGCGCACAACGCAGCGCGCAGGCAGTGATATCATCATAATTTGCATGGGCGCAATCTTAATTTACGCATAAATACATGACCTCTAGGTCATTGGCTTTGTTTAAAATGGCGCACACAACTGTAAACTGGTGTATGGTGTGAAAGGATCAAACGGAATTGCGCGGCTGGAGAATGATGCCGCTCAATGGTACTTTTAGCGCATGTCATGTGATCAAGAATTGACCAATGAGGTTGCAAGAATCTTAGTAGGCGTTGTATAATATTATTTGTTTGCATCGTTAGAGGGGTTTATGTTTATCGGGGATAATTGTCCTTGGAGGGGGGGGGGGAGGGGTTCTGTGGGTGATTGTCCAGGGGGTAATTGTCCTGATACTGAGAATTATACAATATCTAGTACAGATTGGTACGATATATCAAATGAATAATAATGATTATAATAATAATAGTGAACATTTATAATGTGCCACGTCTGTCACAAATGACACTCCTGGTGCAGTTGTGTGAAAATTGTATAAATGGGGGTATACGACCATCACTTGATTCAATAAAGAAAGTGAAATACTCATAAGTAAAAGTTTAACATACTTCAGGACATTACGTATAGGATATCTAATACAAAGCACATTACAGCAATACAAGTTATATAAGGGTAGTACAATGTAATACATAATTAAACAAACTAATATGTTGAGAACAGAAACGTTTTTAACAGAGACTTGAACTGTGAGTAGGAGCTATCATTTCGGAGGTGAGGAGGGGGTGTGTTCCACAGTTCAGGGCAATAACTTGAAAGTGATCGTCTCCCCCAGGAGTGCCGTGAACGTGGGATGCAAAGAAGTTGGGTGTGAGCAGAGCGGAGTAGTCGTGGTGGTTAATGGAGGTGTACTAGGTCTCGTATGTATGAGGGTGCAGTGCAGTGAAGAGCCTTTATGCATTTATATTGTTTTTCATCTGCATGCAGCTCCTGATGGGAATAAGAGCATCCAAGTGGTGGAGCTCCCGATTGTAGGAACATTTGTTAAAACGAACAAAAAGCCAGTCTTCCTGCCCTGGGCAATTCCAGAAGACATCTCGAAGAGACTGAGGAGGGTCCATAGTAAACCCCACGTCTGGTGGATAGGACAGATCATGACCTACATTCTGAAACCTCAGCCTCAAGCCCAAGAATTCATTGACAAGAAGATTAATGCCTTGGAATTCACACGTCCGATCGTTGGGTGAGACGAATGCATTTGTGTTGATATCATTTCATTTTACACGTGGGAGAGGAGGAGTTTTGACAAGAGGGCTATTGCCTTAGGATTCGTATATCCAATGAATTGGATGAAATGAGTGACAAGCCCGTAACTAGGGGTTGGGGTGGTGGGGCGTGATAACATCCTAGCGACTATATAAGTCCGTTTGACCAAGGTCAAGGGTTTGACCATCGCTATAGAGGTGCACCGACCCATCGCTCGGACGATCCTAAAAAACTCTACCCACCGGAGTATAATAGTTATACCCCGTAAGTATCTCCGCCAAGCGCCTGTTATCTACCACTGATGGGAAGTCGGGAGCACAATTTATAATAATAATAATATGAACAATTTAAATAACTTTTGTGACATCAAAGCTTCAAAGCGCTGTACACAAATGAAGATCACTTCAAAGAAAATCTATATTAATAATGGAATTAACATTACTTAAATTATCAAGAAAATGCAATATTTCTAACATAAATGAACAAATAATAAATTATAATTCGTAATTGTACACTGAAGTTAATATTGTGTAAGCGGTGGGCATGCATGCATTGTTGTGTATCTCTTTTTGTTTCTTCTTTATTTGAACACATAAATTATGTGTTGGACAATACTAAACTACCTTTTGACATCGGTTAATTGATATCACACAATTACACATGTCGCCAAGTAGTATACAGCAATTTCAGTGAACGATTGATTAACATGTGTTATGACATGAAATGTATTTTTAAATAGCTTAACCAGTCAGAATTAAACGTGCTGAGGGGCGGATCTTTTGGGATCTTATTGACTGTTGACTTTATGGCTCACTAAATAATAATAATAATTACATTTATAGGGCGCTTTTTACAGACGTTTCTAAGCGCACAGGTGGTACTGTCTAACTTATAATTATTCAACATGTTCAATACCTTAAAAGCAACAAAATAAAATAAAATATGATATTCTCCTCCAAAATAAAAGCATTCATGTCAGGCGGACAGACAAGCTCATTAGGGAAGCCAAATTTCATGGAATCGAGGAGTACATGGACCAAGTTGAAAAATACTACCAGAAATTGGAGAAGAGAAAAAAGGTGTCCGTCAGGAGAGTCTTCTTAGCAACAGACACGGTCGGTCTGCTCGACGAAGCCCAGAAAAAGTGAGTTTAGGACAGCCATCATTACTTAAAGCAATAACTGCACACTGAAAAGGTTGAGCAATATCTTTTCCACTTCGCCCAACGTTGAGCCAATATTCAACCCAACCATCTATTTGGTAATATTTTGCCCAGTGGTATTGGTAAACGTAAATACCCTACTTTACACTTGTATAATTTTCCAACAGCTGGTCAAGATTTTCCCAACAAGTTGGCTACCATAGTCGAGCAGTTAAAAGGTCATATCTTCGCCTAAATTGTTTGTCAAATAGTGCCCAACAAAATAATTACCAAAGTAAATTTACTCATATTTCACAGTGTACTTAAAGCACTACCGCAAGAACTGAGCTCATATATGTTCCTAAACTTCTTAATTTGGACTACATGCCAAAACGGGATCCTTTCAGTCTCCAACCCAATATTATGAAATTAAGTTGATCAAGAAAAATGTATAGTTATAATTAATTAAAATACTTATTTGTATTAACAATGAAGAAAACAATTAACGTCGATTTCAAAAATGAATATTACAAATTGTTCATCATGCTTATTCATTCTAACCCTATAGCTTGCAGGAAATGCATGAGACGTATATCATGACGTAGGATTGATATACATTTTTAAACACTAGGTCGCTAATCTTTTTATTCATTTCAACCTGACACAAGGTTATTAAGTCTTGTAAGAGTTAAATTACCTTAGTGTAAATCTCATTATTTAAAAGCCAGTTTCAGTCGGAAATATTAAGTAATTATTGTAGCTCCAAATTATAATTTCCAATGCAATTTAATTGTCTTTTTTTTTTGGACAGCTATTCTAGTTAAATGTACGTGACTGACATAACGATTTTCAAGTCTACATGGAATTAAAACTTACGTGAAAACCGGGTTAATTGTTTATCATATTCGATTTCTACTATGTAATTGAAACTGACGATAATATTCTGAATTTATATCGCGCCTTAAAATGAGGGCTTTAGAGAGATATTTTCACCCCAGTCATCGGATTGAGGCTGGATTGCACACGATATATGCGCTTAGGCCTGTGTTCAAATTTTCCCCTCTCCTAGGAAAATTTTAGTCAGGCACATTTATAGAAATGTTAACAATTCTGAAAAAATGTACTTTGGCATCCTATCTGGTACACGTTTAACACCTACGAGGAAAGAAGCAATGTAGAACAAAAAAAGTAAGTTGCTTCAATAAAGGCATACGCTTTTGCCCAATGAAGTTGAAATAAATTATCTGTTACCTCCTGTATTGAAATGATTGTAATTTATCCTTGATTATAGATGATGTTTCTTGTACGAACCTTATTGATCAATCTAAACATTGATAGAGATTGATCAATACAATTCTACGAAGATATGAAATTACATTATATCAAATATATCACATTGTCACAAGCATTGTATGGAGTTCCGTGCCCGGGCTCGATCCAACGACCTTAACATCCCGACTGTCTTAACCACTCTACTACGACAAACCTACGAAGTAACTTGACGATGATGATGATTCACAGCATTTGTATGGTGCCATATACCTGTTTAAAAACAACATTCAAAGGCGCGAGCTCCTCCAATAAAGTAAGCATTTAAATGTCTGAAAGAAGATGTGAGACTTGAGTGAAGCTATGAAGTGGTCTAGGCTGTCCATTCCACGAATAAATGATGGGAGGGAGTTCCACACGCAAGGAGCAACAGAGGAAAATGCCCGGTCTCTATCATCAATAGTGATCTGTCAGTTTATGACAGGTTCAGTGACCCAATCAAAATGTTATGTGTTTTAAGTGTCTCTCGAAGTTTCTCGGTCTTGAGCCATCCGTTTCAGTGTTTCATACCCTGTTGCTCCACATTCTGTGATTACATCGTCTAGAAAGCCTTTACGAGGTCTTCCCCTCTTCTTCTTTCCATGAATACGACCTTCTATGACTCTGAGCATCAAGCCCTCATCATGCCGCATTATGTGTCCGAGCCATTTCTTCTGTCTCTCTCTAATCGTTTGAATCAGCACCCGCTTTTCTTGAGCTCGATGGGTCTCTCTAACACTTGTAATATGACTTTCTTTTTTATGTATTTTATTCTTTGACAGATATCCTGGTTATGTATTTATTAGTGACACTAATATATCATTGTCAGCCAATGTATCATTGAGATTGTCAGAGGAATCTTTGATGGGTATCATCGTAGACCTTCATCTTCTGGCTCGTTCGGATTTTCTTGTTTGCACGTGTTCCTCAAATGTATGTATTTCTCAATTTTCGGTGATTTTCTCTTCTATGTTATTTATCATTGTTATTTTTTTTGGTATCCATTCTTTCAATAACTCATTTATCTACCTACTTAAAAAAGCATGCCCAACATTTTATTTATTTCTTCTTCTTCCAATTATTATTGTAATCATTATTAATATCATTACTAGTATTTGTTTGGGGGGGGGGGAGGGTTTGGTCAATTTAAAGTGTTGTACATAAATAATTGAATGATTCGGGTCGTGATTTGGGATATTAAAGACGGAGAGCAGATTGATATTAAACCCTTGGGGGTCACCCCCCCCCCCTCAGGTGCGGATCTGTGTTTTGTTTTTTTTTGCCAAGGGGGGGGGGGGGGTTGACCCTAGATCCGCCCGTTCCCCTTATCAAATTTGAACAAATTGTACTTCCTTCAGGTGAAAAGGTTGGCATATGGGCTACAATTTGAAATTTTACCCTTTTTTTAAAATATCGTCTGACAATTAGGGGGCGTTTCACAAAACTTGTTATCAGTGAAAAATGAAATTTCATGTTAAAAGCTACTGAAATCCTTGCTTCCGATTGGTTAACAGCAGATTTGTCACTGCTTTTTGTCATTTGTCAGGCTTTATGAAACGGGTAACAGATTAGTGCTTGATGATATACAACCGAACTGTTTCTAGTGAACCTTTTTTTTTTTAAATTTAGTTCAAAAGGACCGTTCTAATGCTGTGATGACTAACATAAATTATCTTGATAAAAAAAAATCATCAGTTGGGGATAATGATAACATGTAGTTTTTAAGCTTCTCCCACCCTTAAATTTGTTATGCAAGCTTTCATCCACTCCTGTGGACTTTCTCAAGCTAAGTGATCCGTCTGAGTCACACGTTTATTTCGTTGCACTGCCTGGTGTCTTGCAATCACTGGACTAAAGATCGGTGACAATAGGTACCCAGAGTCCTTGTTTAGTGATGGCTTAATCATCTTAGTCCATATGGACTCTTTCACCTTTCTTGACCAGAAGTTACTTTCAAAGTCTATTATGACGGCATCTTGTTTACTTTTTCGACCAGTTCTCAATTAACGACGATGTAAAACGAGGCACATAGAATATCATACACAATTCCATGTGCACAAATCACACACGGCTGATTGCGACCCTTCTAAAACTCAAAAGCAAATTTAAGTTTCTTTTCTTTACCAGAAATTTCCAAGTTCTAACATGGAAATGCCCTGTGCAAAAAACTAACTGAATAAATGTTGATCATAATAGAAATTACAAAGTTCATATTTTGTTTTCTTTTCATTAACGAAGATATGTCGACTGGCTTACGAGATGATGCAGCGTTCCAATGTAGATGTCTCCAAAAAACTCCACTGCCTCGACAGACGATACTACTGGCACGGAGAAAATATCAAACACAAAACAGCAAAGATGCCTGTGTATGAAGGGGCTGAGAACGTTCACCTGTATGGTGTGTGACCGGACCCAAGCTCTTTCTGATTTTCATCATTTGTTTGGCTTGATAATGATTTTTTTTAAAAACGTTTTAGCCCTCCATAGGCTTTTTTTATTGAGTCAAACAAAAGATTGTACAATTCAATGAAAAGAAATTTTTTTTAACTCAAATAAAACAGAATACTTTTACATTTCTCTATTTGTTGTTTTTCATATAAACAAATGTTGAAGTGACTGCCATTAAGTTTTTAAAAAATTGTTATACACACCCAGAAATAGAACGAATATATCTTTCGTCTTCATAATATTGAATAATTTTCTTCTTCAAAGAACTGAAATTTGGAATTTTATTTCGTACGAATAGTTAATGCTTAATCAAAGTTACCATGCAATTTAAATCATCCTTTTTTTGTCTTCAAAACCAAAAATTACATTTTCTTAATTAAACTCTATCTGTAATCGAGAAAATTCAGTCATCCATTTAACCGTTTCATTCCAGATTGATTTACTGATTTCACAATTATAAAAAAAAAAGTAAAATATCATCCAGCTCTTTAAGCAAAAACGAACATTTGTCATTACTTACTAGGTTCATCTCATACAGTTGCTTGTTCAAATTAATATAGAATCCTATTTACTATCTCATACTGAACATATCTTAAACCGATATCTGGAGTAAAACGAGAAAAAAAGGTCATCCTATGATATTTTTGGATTCTTGGACATTCAGGGGTATAATCTAAAGGTCGTTCCCATTTCAGACATATAGAGGGTACTTAATTTTCTTCCAAGAGAAGTTTTAAAAATATATTTTATGTCATGTACTAGTATTTTGGTATGTGACGGCATTTGAGGATCTACTACTTTTTTCACATTTTGCAATATGCTTTCGACATCGACACTTAATAGCTTGATTTACAGAATAATAAGACAAATAATTTAATTTCAAGTAGAAATTTTGTTCACATTGCTCACGAGTCAGAAGTATTCCCCTATCATCAATCAAGTCATTTATACATCTGATGCCGTTTTTATACAAAATTTTTAAAAATGCAAACTTATGTCCAATTTGAATTGAGCTATTTCTCCACAACGGATAAGTTAACCAATCACCTCCCTCTGCACGACTCAAAATAGACAGAGCGTGAAATACATGTCTCCAAAAAGCATTAGCGACTTCATGATACAATGCTGAAACAACAGTCATCAATAAACCCTACTACAAATGGTTTTGATAAACATGATTGCATTAAATGATTAACATCATTATATTTTCGTAAATTCATTCTTCGAAACCACGTTAACTTTAGTGACCAGTTTAAAAACACAATATCTGGCATTTTCAGCTCCCCCCCTCCTCTTCTTCATATAGGCCAACAGCTTGGTTTCTACTGATTTTATCTGGCTTATTCTTCCATATAAAGTTAAAGAACTTAACTTTATAGGTTTTCATTAACTTAGCTGAAGGATCTTCGATTGACATTAAAAAGCTGATTAAACTGTAACTCTTTCAAGAATTGTAATGTTCCTCGTGATCCAAGAAATCATCTGGCCTTTTACTTTGTCAACATTGCTGTCAAAGTTATAATCTGTTTTTTTTTCTCCTCTAATTACAAACCGACAAGAATAACAGATTCCACAGCAACCTTGATAAATAATATATTTACAAATAGTATTTGTAATATTTATCTTGGTATATTGACCTACGAAATATCTGATCATTTACCTTTATTTGCAGTCTTTGATTTAAAAGGTATTCATGAAGAACAACCAGTGGTATACAAACATCAAATTAATGATATGAATATCAACTGTTTTCTTAGAGATCTCTCTACAAACCGATGTACTTGTTTGCTTTTTGTTTATCATGAGGAACCAAACCTGATGTATGAAAAATGTATGGAGTTTTTTTAAAGATCCATAGTACTTGTTTTTCACTTTAAAAAAAAAAAAATTTATAAGAAAATCATGTAGATTGTTTTTATATAGATATGATATGTAATGGTCTTGACAGCCTTAATGATAATGTGTATATTCTATCTGGTGTCTGTATCAAATGATATTAATGTCATGAATCTTAAGACATGTAATCTTTATGATGTATCTTTCTCAGAGATGTAATTTCGGTATTTAAACTCAGAGTTTGCATTTATAGGAGCAGTGAACGAGATGCTGCTTTCCCAATAACCTGCCTAATGATAAATTTTTTTTTTTTTACATGTTATTCTTATTAAATACTCTTTCATATCAATGCATGTTCTTTCTGCTTAGCAATACTATTTGTAATGATCTGTAACTCCTTCTCACTTCACGCCAAGCCCTCTCCCGTCCTCTCTCTTTCTCTCTCTCTCTCTATTTCTCTCTCTTTTGCTCTCTCTATATATCTTGCTCTCTTCTCTTTCTCTCTCTCTCTCTCTCTCTCAACCAATCACTCTTCACCTTCTACCTATCATTCTTCTCCTCTCTTTGATGTGCTTCTGCATCTCCACGAACCACCCTAGTATGTCTTCCTTTTTTTTTTGGCTCGTACTTAATTGTCAGGGTTCACACGGTATTAAACTTCGTTTATCTTGGAGCCCTGGCCAGTTCTGTCAGAAATAAGTTCATATTTATTAAAACATGTTTGAAAGTATACTGATTTTATGTAGTATTGATAACTCAATAAAATAATAAATGAAAATGAAAGTGTTCTTTACAAGTGATGTGTTTTTAAAATGCAATCTCTTCTTTATTTTGTACATTACTGGTATGGTACATATAATTGTAATGATCAAAGGAGCGTTTCAAATTATACAAAATATTTACAAAATATTCATTCAATGTTTCACAAATGGTTTAATTACAGTGAATCTTATTTTCTTGCTCATGAATTTTTACAAACAACTTTCTTATATTTCCCCAGTGCATGTTTTATAACATCCCATGTTTTCGTAACAATTACCTCACTAAACTTAATTTAAAAGTATTTTTTAAAGGAAGAATTATCATATTTGCTTCATATTCATAACAATTGATCTGTAAACATCTTTTCTGTATTGCGTAGGATTAGATATACAGGATATACAAACGACATTTTTCTTCATCCTTTCCATATTTAATTTGAAAAAACATGGTTCATCTCTCAGGTTATATTTATTGAAATTGTCTATAGCAGGAGACGATGTATCCTATGCATTTATGAATTAGTTAATACAGTTATCATAGTTATTGTCAATATTGTTATCAAATAACAATTTCATCGACTATATCAAATGGGAAAAAATAGATATTCTTTTTTTATATTCCTTTTGACACTCATCACTTTCACTTTTGCAATGAGTAGATGAGGAATACAGTAAAAAGGAAAATGTTAACAAAAATCCGTAGTAATTATTCCTGATCGGATTGCGAGAGTATAATTGGTTATTATATTACCAAGTACAGCAGGCAGATCGTTTAATAGCATTGAATAAAGCGTTACAATTAATACAAAATTATGTTACAATGCGAACCTTGCCAACGTCGATAAATTTATAGTAAAATTATCCATCATATATATATATATATATATACAATACATTTCTCTCTATTTACAATCTCAAATACATCAGCAAAATATCTATTACTGACACCAAGTATTATACCAAGTTACATTATTGAATGCAACAAACAGACTTAAATAAAAGGTGTCTATCAATCTTAATCGGGACAAAGTTTGAAATTGATATCAGTCCAAAGAAATATACTAACATATTTCAAACAAATTGCCTTAGATAGTCCAAAATAAGGTCTTTCATCTGCGAATAAAATCTACCCTTTGAAATTTAATCTCCATTTTATAAATTCAAAGTCGGAACCGGCATCATCAAATGTCACTAAATTATTTTTATATATTGACCACTAAAACTAAAAATTTACCAAACTTTCTAATATCAATTTCTCTTTGTCAGGATGCTTTACAAAAATGGAGCCGTCTCTTTTGCTTTTGAATGTTATGAAAAGTATGCATCAAATAGCCCTACGTTCTTTAAAATATGTGTCCTTAAGAATAGTGTCTAGATTTGCAAAATATTGCGGACAAACTTCTTCAAATTCTGCTTTCAATCAACTGTCCGGAAACAACCTCACCGGTCACACAACGTCTGGGTATACTTAGCCTACTCTTGATCTAGATCTAGACTATGAGCTGTATACAATGGACAGTCTAGATCTAGCACTAAAGTCTAAACAGTATTGAACCTTGACATTTGCTATAATTAAGAAGAGATATTAAAGAAATGAATTAAGAAGATCAATGTGGAGTTGTAATGTCACTGGAATTAAGTTTAACTAGTTATCCCACACTTTCTTCGGGATATGAACTCTAGAAAGCTTAATGCTGTTGGGCTCTTGCATTTATATTCTGCCTTTAATAACGTAACCCATCAGGTACTCGTCAATACAACTGCGTTACTTGAAATGTGTGGAAGAGCGTGTGATTGGTTTCAATATTATCATTCTAAGTGTTAGCAAATTTTACAACTGTGATTATGATGCGAAATCAGATCCTGTCCCGGCGAACTGTGGGGTGCTCCAGGGTTCCGTTGGAGGACCGATATTATTTTGTATTTACTTGAGTGGACTGAAGCGAGTCTTAAATCTTCACGAGGTCGACTATTACTGTTTGCTGATGATGTCTAGCTATATGTGTCACTCCCTCGGGTGCAGGACAAAGTGGCTCACGTTGTACATCACATGGATGGCTTGCATAGAGAAAGGTGGACGAGCCCCACTTCCTCTCGAATTCAATCATGACAAATTTTAGTTCTTACTTTTCGGATCCAAATACAACTTTGAAAAGTAAAATTAATATTGGTGATTCTCTTATAAATAGAAGTACATCTTTTAGAAACATGGGTGTTTAAATTGACTCCACTATGTCAATGTCTCACCATCATATGGAGGAATTCTGTCGGACCGTGGTAAACTTGAAGAAGAGACTGTTGACGTTCGCTAACTTTACTATCAAGCCAAAGAAACAAAGGAAATCAAAGAGAGCCTGCGGGAATAGGCAGCTTATCAGGCCTCACACACCATCCAAGTGAACGTTCTCAGCCCCTACATACACAGGCATCTTTGCAGTTTTGCCTTTGGCTTTGGTATTCTCACCGTACCAGAAGTATTGTCTGTCAACGCTGATGAGTTTCTTGGAGGCATCTAAATGGGAATGCTGTATCATTTCGTAAACCAGTCGACATATCTGCGTTAATAAAAAAAAAATAAAGTATGAATTGTATTATAATTTATATTATCGTTAACATTTAGTTCTTTAGTTTTTGGAAAGGGCATTTTTGTGTTATAACTTGGCAATTTCTATTTCAAAGAATAATATTAATAATAATAATCAAATTTGCTTGTGAGTAAACCAGTCGACATATCTGCATTAATAAAATGAAATAAAGTATGAATTGTATCATTTCTATTATACTTAACGCCTTTTTTTTAAATAGTTTTTGCAAGGGGCATTTATGTGTTATAAAGCGTGTAGAGACATTTGTAATAAGCGCTTTATAAAAATGTGATATTATTATTATTATTATTATTAAGAATGAATAAATACATTAAAATTATAAAATAACATGGAAGAGAAAATCATAGAAAACATACATTTGAAGAGCATGTGCAAACCACAAAATCCGAACGAGCCAGAAGATGAAGATCTACGATGATACCCATCAAAGATTCCTCTGACCATCTTAATGATACATTGGCTGACTGAGATATTTTATTATCACTCACAAACACATAGCCAGGATATCTGTCAAAGAATAAAATACAACGAAATAAAATGTTGCAATTTACTTCTCAGCGTTGTCGTAGTCGAGTGGTTTATAAATTACAGATGCGAATATCTTGGGGTTAAGCCCAGTCGGGGAACCTCATAACATGCTTGTGGCAATGTTATTTTTTATTCGAGACATGTTATTTCATATTTTCATAGAATTGCATTAATCAGTCTCTGGGAATGTTTAGATTGATCAATAAAGTTTGGAGAAGTTAAAAATGCATTTTGTTTGAATCATAACAGAATAAATTGTCACAATAATTTCATTAAAATAGGTACAAGATAATTTATTCCAACTTCATGGGCAATAACGTATGCCCTTTTTTAAAGCAACATACAATTTTCTGAACTGCTTGTCTCCTCCTAGGTGTTAAAAGTGTGCAAATTGGATGCGACCGTAACTTTTACAGAATTGTGAGCATCTTAAAAAAGGCTCTTGGATGTAATGCTTCCAGGGGGGTGTTTCACAAAGATCCTTAGTTGAGCTTATCTCCAAGTTGGACTTAAATATTATGGAGAGCCATTTGTAGCCTTATTTTGATATATATTCAAAAAACAAAATTAAACTATTTTAGACTTTTCATAAAATCCCCATCAAGAACATGGATCTCCAATGATAATAGAAAAAAATGAATGATTTGAATCTACATTTTATGCGTTTTAAAATAACTTTTACTAAATATTTTCAAGGATGTTAACGGCTTCCATAACTATTAAGTCCAACTTAGAGATAAATTCAACTTACGATCTTTGTGAAACACCCCTTAGGATAGTAAAGAATTTTAATACAGACTTGAGCGCCTACAATGTGTGCGATCTAAACTGAATCCGATGACCGGGGGGGGGGGATATTTCTTTAAAGCCCTCAATACATCGTTTTATGTTTTATTCGCGATATAGATTCAGAATATTATTATCAGATTAAATAACAACCAAGAACTAGAATAAAATAAACGATGAAGCCGTGTTTTGTTAATAAATTAAAAATTCAATATGACTGGGATTTCGTGATGTCACTCACGAACATATAACTAGGATAGCTATCAGAAAAAATACAAAAAAGAAATGTTATTGGAAATAATAATATGGAGCTATATTAAATAATTACTAAACATTTCCAACCTAAACTGACTTTTAAAGAGGTGAATTTAGATTGATGTAAGTTTTCTTTTGTCGACTTAATAACCTTGTTTCAGGTTTAAATTAATGAGAAGATTAAGTGCCTTGGTGTTGGAAAAATGTCTCCTTAAACTGTAAAAAAATCGGGCAGATGTTACAGGACAAATCATAAACATAGGTTGGGTAGGTGTTACTCGGCAAATCGATATTGGGCAAATATCGTCCAATAATTGGGTTATTTCCTACGAAAAATGTTGTAACCAATGAAATAATTGGGTAATGTTATTGGACAAATTAAAGTTGGGCCATTTTTGCCCATCATTTGGGTTAATTTCTCCCGAACATTTACTGCATGTATATTTACCCTATTAAATGTTCAAAATTAGTTGGGCAGATGTTACTAGACAAACGTAAGTCGGGCAACAATTATGCAACATTAGGGTTCAAGTCGGATATTATATGTTTCTTGGTCGAGTGGATATGTCACGGGACTGTGAATCACAAGTTCCGCGGTTCGAGTCCCGCCAGCACTAATGCTCTTCTATACATAATATGTTTCATATTTTATCAACTTATTTGCCCAACTAGTGTTTAATATGCTAAACATTATGGGGATAATTTGGTGAATTTCTGATTGGGTACATTTTTGTTGGTTAAAACTTGGGTATTTTCTTTTTTCTTCAAAACTAGGTAAATTATGCAAAATCTTGAATTTACCTAACAGTTGGTTTGACACATAATCGCCCTCATGTTGGGTAAAACTTGGGCAATTTTTTTGCCCAATATTTTTTAGAGTGTACATGTCTATCAAGTCTACGTGAATTTGCTAAAAGAAATAGAGTTAGCATGAATAAGCATGATGACAAATTCGTAACATTCACTTTAATAATCGACATGATTTTTGCATTCATTGTTAATGTTAACATGTATTTGTATTAATTATAACTAAACATTTTTCTTGATCAAACTTTAATTCATAAGGCTGGGTTGAAGACTTCACGCAATCTTGTTATTTTCAACTAGTCAAAATGTAGAAGTTCAGGGACATGTATGAACTCAATCTGCGGTAGTGCTTTAGTACAACATGGCTTTAAAGCCCCTATCACACCAAACTAGTTCTCACTACGTTCTCGAAAATGTTGCCAAACGGGCTCAAACTGTGTGCGAACTGAGTTGAACGTAATAACAACTGTTTGCGACCTGTTTAAGGACTTTATGGACGGGCTCGGACTCGACTAATGTCTATAATACGATCCTAGTTCGTTCATTTACAGTCCATAATACGTCCAACTCTTCTGGACCCCGTCCACAGTCAGTTCAAATCAAGTTCAGATTGGGTAAATTTGACATTTCCAAGCAGTCCAAACCATTTTTACCAGTTTGCAACATGTTCTAACTAGTTCATAACCCAACCACCCCATTTACAGGCCATTCAACTCGTCCTTATCTCATTCTTAGTGCGTCTGAACGCGCTCCTATCGTGCTTGTGCAATCCCGTCGTGGTTCCAGGGCTATACAAACCCAGCGCGTTGTCGTTAATGATGCTCAACCACATAACGTTGTAGCATGTTCCTAGTAGGTTCGAAAAACGGCAATTCTATTCATATTACGGCAATCCGTTCGTAGTTTGCCCATCTCGTTTTAAGTACGTTGTCACTCCGTCTAGTTTTTGAACAGGCTTAAAGTCCTAGAGCACCCTTTCCAAGTCCAAACCAGTCCGAGCCCGTCCATGAAGTTCTAAAAAAATAGTTGCTATTACGTTTCCTCCGTTTGCACAAAGTTTGAGCCCGTGTGGCAACATTTTCCAGAACGTAGAGAGAACTAGTATGGTGTAATAGGGGCTTCACTTGAATGTCTTGATCCGCAAAACTTGAAGTGTTGAAGTTGAACGGGAATGAGGAATGACGAAAACGCGCTGGGTTTTTATAGCTCCCGAGCCAGGACGGGATTGCGTTCGAATGCACTAAGAACGAGATGAGGACGAGATGAGCTGTCTCTGAATGGGATGGTCGGGATAAAAACTAGTAAGAACAAGTGGCAAATTAGTCGAATGGGTTTGGACGCTATTAGGAACGAGGAAGAACTAGTTAATAATGGGTTTAAACTGACTACGAACTGGCTTGGACTGCCTAGAAATGGCAAATTTACCCGATCTGAACTTGATATGAACTGACTGTGGACGGGATACAGACGAGATGGACATATTCACGGGCTGTTTATGAACTAGGATCGTATTATAGATATTATTTACACATTCGTCCCCGATCACAAGCCGTTTTACGATTTTCTAGGACGGTTCCAGAACGCAGTGAGAACTAGTTTGGTGTGATGGGGCTTATAAGCCACGATGGCTGTCCTTTAACTCACTTCTTCTTGGCTTCGTAGAGCAGACCGACCTCGTCTGTTGCTAAGAAGACTCTCCTGACGGACACTGCTTTTCTCTTCTCTAATTCCTGGTAGTATTTTTCCACATGGTCCATATACTCCTCTATACCATGCGATTTGGCTTCGTTAACGAGTTTGTCTGTCCGCCTAACATGAATGCTTTTTTTTTTGGGGGGGGGGGGAGGGGAATTATTTTGAAAGCCATATAGTCAACAGGCAAAAACATACTTGAAAAAATAAAATTGCCCCTAAGCTCATTTTATTTTGACTGGTTATGCTAAAAAAGATACATGAGGTATTTGACATATTGAAATGAGGTATTTATACTGCCATAGACGAAAAACTTCTTGCTGATTGTCAACGAAACGGAGTTAAGTATTTTGTCAATTCTGTTTGTTGCTACGGCAGGCAGCCAGTGAAATCAAATTCGTTTGATAAAATTATGGAAATGCAAGCATTACTTTAAACAAATGGAACTTTGTTATTACTGGCTCATTCTTCCTGATTGAGGTGTCATATGAAAGGGCAGAACATGAACTTTCTAGAAATGTGATTTTCTCTTAATAAAATTTAGATACCGTCCGCCGATTTACTTTTCAGTACCATTTCTTCAAATTAATTTCAATCAATCATGCGTGAAGTATGCAGCATATAAGTTGCATCAAATGAAAGAGGAGGATCTAAGCTTTACACAAATGTGTCATTCATTAATTATAATTGTGATTCAGTTATGATAAAACATCGATAATTCTGGTTTTCGTTTTTTTCTGGGACGCACCGTATAATGGCAACGAACTGTGCGTCCGCAAACAGCGACTAATTTCTCAGGAGCTTAGCCTGCTTAGGCACCGTATTACACTTTAAGACCTTAAAATTCGTCTTACCCCACGATCGGATGTGTGAATCCCAAGGCAGTCGTCTTATTGTCAATGAATTGTTGGGTTTGAGGCTGAGGCTTCAGAATGTAGGTGATGATTTGTCCTATCCACCAGACGAGGGGTTTACTGTGGACTCTCCTCAGTCTCACCGAGATGTCTTCTGGAATCGCCAAGGGCAGGAAGTCTGGCCTTTTGTTCGTTTTAATAAAGTTTCCTATTTTGGAGAGTTTTACCACTTGGGTGTTTTTATTTCCATCAGGAGCTGTAGATGAAAAACAAGATAAATGTATTTAGTTAATTAGTTGTACCGATCACTACCGGGAGGTCGTGGGTTCGAACCCCAGCCGCGTCATACCAAAAGACGTAAAAATATGGGAGTTGCTGCTACCTTGTTTGGCGTCCAACAATAAGGGGATAGAGCAACGTCAATCTGGCGCTGCTCAGTGGCTGCCGGGCTCACGATCAATTGGGCAAAAGGAATTTCCATTTTCGGTTAATAAAATTTGGAGTGGACTAAAAGATTATTATTATTATTATCATTATTATTATTATTATTATTATTATTATTATTATTATTATTATTATTATTATTATAAGTTCCGATTATTTATCCATTTTTTCACAATCATCTATCATATTATCTGTCTGCAAACTCGGTTACTAAACCTTCATATCATGCCGTTGCCTGATTTGCCTGCGTGACATTTGTAATTTTGAGGATTTCGAATACACCAGTTTACGGTTGTATCAGTGCGCATACGCAGACAGTTGACCTCGGGTCATTGGCCCTGAAACAAAGCCAATGACCTGAGGTCAGTGGTATTTATGCGTAAATTAAGATTGCACCCATGCAAATGATGATGTGCGCGCACAATGCAGCGCAATCTCAATTTACGCATAAATACATGACCTCTAGGTCATTGGCTTTGTGTAAAATGGCGCACACAACCGTAAACTGGTGTATTTAGTAACCAATGTGCTCCAGCGCCGCTGGCCGTCATGCCATCAACATTTTTACAAACCCCCCCCCCCCCCCCCCCCCCCCCCCCCCCAAAAAAAAAAAATACTACTGCTTCTTTGTTTTTGCGATTATCTTTGCGACTCCAATCACAGATTCGAATCGATTTCATCAAGGCATTCTTATTGTCAAACACGACATCGTCATTATATCATACACAAACTTTTAGCTTAAATCAAGTGTGATATTAGTGGAGTTTTGTCGTTAAACGTGTTAAGAGTATGTGTGTGATTTACAGAAAGACTATATTAATACATTTATGTTATTTTTTTTATTATTTCAATACCCGCAGTCTTAATTGTGCACTTCATTACTAAGCCTTTCCCTATTGCTTGCTTACGTTTCTTTCACAATGTAATTGTATGACCAGTATCGGACTCTAACTTTAATCATGCTCATAATAATAATTAGATTGAGTTAGGCGCTAAAACCATACCCATTTACAAGATCATTATCATCATCATTATTGTTATTATTATCGTTACTATTCTTATTATTCGTATCATCACCATTATTATTACTACTATTACTATTCGTATTACTATTAGTAAGAGATATGCATGGTGGTGGTTATTTTACCTGACTGCCAAGAAAGCAAGTAAGCAACCAGACGGCCGACGGCTTTAGGTCCTCTCCGAGGGACCTGGTAATGAGGATTAATGCCTTACCAAAGGGCACTAGCATATCGCCTTGGTTTCGAACCCGGGTCACCGAATTACGAGACCACTGCTCTACCGACTGAGCTACCACGCCTCAGTATTACTTCTATTAGTATTACTATAAGTTTAAATATCAATAATATTATTAGTAGTATTATTATTATATTATTATACATATTATCAGGACAAATGTAAACTCCCGTTCCAGTATACCTACTTGGCCACTTATTGTAAGCTGTGGTCTCTCCTTGTTCATCAAGGCAGTTCTCACTGAGAGGGCGAAAGAACTTGTCCCATCCCCCGGGGAATAGACCCATTCCGAGGAATTAAGGATGAGGGTTCTCTCACTGCCGTATGCCATAATCAGACAGAACGACAAATGATGAACACTCGATCCGAACCCGACTCGATGGTTGAAATCACACACGATCTTCTTGGCTTTTCTGCAGTCTGGAGGATTCTGGTGAAAAAGATATGGATGATAAAATCAAAAATTATTGATTTGGACACGATCACAACAACATTTCAATAACCTATTTTATTTCCCTCCGTTAGAAATCAAGTTCGCATGAAGACATCGTACTATTCGCACATTTTAAAGATAAAGGTGAGTTCTGGTCATCCGATTGCATTGTGAAAGAAAATGTGTGGAATGGATCAGACAAAGTTGGTCATGTAGCATGTAACTATTAGTGTGTACTGCAAATTTCTGGAGTCATCAAAATCGTCATAAATTTGGCCCAGTCTTGGTAAAGTAACAAGCACTGTACACAGAAAGATGTATATGGGACTATACAAATGGTGTCGGGGCTACTAACCTTGATTTCCTAATCCTTCTATGCTCATTACACAGTATACATTTTCTACCAAAATTGTTTGGCATGTGACATTTATTTGTAATCTTGAACATTCAGTGTAATTTTCGTTTGATTCTGTGAGATTTTTTAATTTTTTAAAACCAGAACTCACCTTTATCTTTAAATGTGAACGTCATGTGATGCTATTGAAATTGCCTTTTTTTCGTTTTATAATAACATCTTCACTTAAGAAAAATACATGTATCTCCTGGGAAAGTTAAAGGGAAAAAAGCCTAACTACATCTCTGCCTATTACTTTACCTGAAGGAAATGGAGTCTTTTCTGTATAAGATTTGAGAGCTTCATCAACTCATCTTGTTCCCACGATGAATTTCCATCCAATTGAGTTAGAGTGGTGTTAGCCGACACGATGTACCTAGGTTAAAATTCAAAAAATGAAAAAGCTGATGAAAACACTTAATTCCTTTATCAGAACGACCAACCATGTAATTAAATAAAAAATATTATTTTGTTCTTCATGTAAGACCAAGTTCATTTACGGAGAATCATGAAGTGTTAGTTGAAGGAACACAACAAAATTAAAGCTCGAAAAACTATGTGATCCAAGGAAACAAAATACTATTATAGTTATCTTTAGGAAACAGACTGTTGATATTTAAACCGACGTCGAGAAATATATTTGAGAAATAGCTGTTGTTCCCCTTTCACTCTCTTTCGCCGCCTTCTTGGAGGAGGATGGGGAGGAGCCTGCTAGTGCTCCCTTCTTAGATCTGCCATTGCTTGTATGTCAATATCATTATGATAGATAGAAAGAAAAAGGATTGGCGAAATGAAATAAAGGTCAATTACTTTTGTTTTTCGTCATATTTCGTCAGGTTCACGTACGGTTGTCCGACACTGTTGATCTCCGTTCGAGGTGAGTCCTGCTTTGAAGACTTTATGTGCTGGTTGAACCGAGGAGATATTCCTTGGTTAAATATGACGAACAAGCTGATTATCAAGGCTAGCGTAATCGTCACCAACAACTTGAACAAAGTATTCATGATCACGACTCTCCTTCGCTAGACAACCAAACCTATTTCTACTTTCTGCATTTTAGATAAGATAATGGCACAGACGGTGTTAAATTAATATCACAAACAAATGAAAATGGTAGTCGACATCTCAATCCTCGTAAAAATAAAAGGTAATTTGTTCTCTTCGTTATCCTCATTCTTCTCCTCCTCTTCCACTCCCCTCCTTTTCTCTTTTTCACGTATTTTCTACACTTTTACTTTTAGGGAAGGGGGAAAGGGTGGTGGAAATAAGTTGTCGCGTGGCAAGTTTCCTAGTCAGTTGGAAGGGGTAAGAGGACATTTTTTTTTCTTTTTTGGTCTCTGAATTCGAAAATTTGACATTTTGTGCCGTGGGGGGGGGGGGGGGGGTAAGGTCACCTTTTTTTAGGTCATCCATTGGCATTTTAAAAAAAATATATTAAAAAAAAAAAAAAAATCAAAAAAATCAAAAGGGATTTCCCCCCCAAAAAAAACATACACAAAACATACACATAACAAAAACTCAAGGGGGGGAGGTTAACCCCAACCCCTCCCCCCCCCCCCCTGCGTACGCGCCTGACCTGTTTAAGATTCTATTCCATATGGTGTTTTAATTATTATGATAATCAGAAAGGTGTGATTGTCATGCACATAATCAAGGACATCAAGTATCAAGGGGCCCGCGGTTGGGTCCAGGGGGCAGAGCCCCTGGAAGCTCAGGGGTTTTAGGCGTTTAATTACGGTCAGATGAGCATTTTCTGATACCTTATTTTGTTGTGGAGCTGGCAGTTAGCTATTCTTTCTTTCTTGCTCTTTTTCTTTCTATTTCTCTTTGATATACTTTGTCAAAAAAGTGGGGGGGGGGGGGGAGGAGGAAGCTGGAAGCTCCTGATCCCCGCCGTTTTGCGGGCCCTGACATGTAGGCATCTCACGAAGCATATTTCTTGCCTGGCTGTAAATTTATGAATTTGTCATTTTAAAACAAACGCATAAAATGTATAATCTACTAAAAAATGAGGAAAAATCTCGGAAAATTATGTAATTTCAGCATTATTTGTAAACCACCATTACGTTATGGAATCAGAAATAAACCCTCTCCCCGATCAGTACGCCAGTGCCCCGCCCCCCTGATCTACACTATGTTAGCGGAAAAATCGCAAATGATCTCCCCTACCTTTCTTCTTTCTCTTTTTCTTCTTTCCCTTTCTCTCCCCATTTTTGTTTGGCCCCAGAAATTGGAAAAATTGCGTCGTCAGATATTTCGTTCAGTGGCTTGGGTGGGGGGGGGGGGGGGGGAGGAACACTTTCTTTTTTCCTTCTTTTTGTTTCCTTCTTTTTTTCTCTCCTCTTTTTTCCCTTTTTTTTTCCTCAGGGGGGGGGGGGCGGGTGGCCGGGTCCTCCGGGCCCCCCTGGATCCGTCACTGGGTCAGTCCGTACCGACGGGGATAACCATGATAACGAAATTGTAAATAAAATGTACACCCTACTATTTTGTGTTTGGTGTGTGCAAACAAACATGACCTTACACATTCGAGCCCAAACCTAATTCAAGTTTTAATTTTACCAATTAATCAATAAAGATAGCGTTTATATTTATTTAGCGCAGCTGTGAGATACGTAGGCCAACATCTCTTTACATTAGCACATAAGGAAGAGCGTATTACACGAATACAAACACAATTTCAGTTGGTAGCGGTGAGAAATGAGGTGACCCTTGTTTGGGTAAACATTAACTGTTCATCAAAAATGTCGTATACCAATATTAAGGTCGGATGACTCATGTTCAAGGCTCAAAATACACGGGGGCGGATGGGTAAGCGGACACTTTTTTTTTTGTTTTTTGGTCTCGAAATTTCAAAATTTGACATTTTTCTTCGTTGGGGGGGGGGGGGGGGGGGTAAGGTCACCTTATTTAGGTTAGCCGTGGGTATAATTTTTTTTTTTTTTTTTAATAATAAAAAATAAATAAAAAAAAAGAACCAAAGGGGGGGGGGTTAGGTTTTTTTAGGGGGTTTACATACATAAAAATACCAAAGGGGGGGTTTGAACCCCCCAAACCCCCCCCCCCCCCCTGCGTACGCCCCTGTTTATAACTGTCACACAATACTGAGTTTAAGGTTTCAAACCTTAAACCCATGAAAATGGAACAATGGACGTTAGATAAGCATGTATTGCCGTGCAGAATTTTTGCTCGAAATTTTTCGGTGTTTAGAGGCCGTTATATTGTAAACAAATGTACGCTTATTCGCCGCAAAATAGAAGCGCTATATCTCCCATCGCATCTCTAAGAGTATAACCGATACAAACAACGGAAACTTGCAGTGCAGTGCGGGCGTCAGCAGTGGTTATACTAGCTTTCAGATTTGCACGTCGACATATAGTGGCACGTAGCAGTCCACCAGAACGACTTGCAAGTCCTTTAGGCACTGCCAGTGCCTGAAAAGGACGTCACACGTTCCACGCTCGCCCCCTCGATCCCTGCCTGGTGCACGCTACCACCCCATATCTGCTGGAGCTAGAGGCGATCGCGCAAGGACCGAAGCATGAAGAAGTTTTCCGGTGAAAACGCGTAAATCCTCTGAAATCTAATAATACCCCCCCCCAAAAAAAAAAAAAAAAAAAAACAGCAAATAATAAACCTTAACCAGTTATATAACCGATAGCTAAAATTAGTAAAAGGAAATCTGTTGGCAAGGAGGCGACTGTATGGGATTGGACCAGACATTTTCAAACAGAGAAATAATGATGAAATAGCAAAGAATATAGGGGTTCATGGGTACCATTAAATGGAAATTTGTATTAGAAAAAGAGCTCCCATCAGTACTAAAAGAGCCCCATGACAAGACTCATGGGAGCTCTTTCTTTTTGGAAGAGCCCCCGTTCACAAAAAATTAATTTGAGCCCTGCTCATGTTAATGGCTGCCTTTGCCAGTTGAGTACTGAAGTGCTGACGTCAGATTCACTCGCAATCCAGTAGAGCCTTGCATGAGCTACGCCGCGAAAACAGTCAAGCAAGCGGCTAGAGAAGGAACCAATTCAGTGTTAGGTGCTTGCTTGATCGCCTGGCCTATCTAGCTTTAATGCTACTTTTACACTATGTTCCCGGCGGCCACGGCCATCACGAGAGAGAGAGAGAGAGAGAGGGGGAGAGTTGCATTAACAATAAGTGGAACATACAGGCCCCCAATGAAAAAAGTAAAGGAGTAAAAATGGTTTATATTTTCTAACCACATATGCAAAATATTAGAACCAGAGTTGAATCACGTAAAGATGATATCCCATTCAAAGAAAAGGAGAGTAAACAGGAATTAATTTTCCTGAACATTCCGCACCTCCTTTCATTTATCAATAGAGGATTTTATAATAGCGATACGCGCATATCTTGAACAAATTGTGAGAGGATGGGAAAACGTGTATGTTCTTTATTATAGGGGTGGTAGGACATGAGCTCCTGAACACTGGCGTACTGAGAGGGGGGGGGGCAGTTTCCCCCAAAGTATATTCAAATGTGGTTTATTAGTAATTCGATACCAGTGATTTACAAACTGTGCAGAAATGACATAATTATTAGGGATTTTTTCTCAATTTTATTTGTAAATAATACTTTCTTATCCGTACGTTGGAAAACTACAAATTTCCAAATTTACAGCCAGGCAAGATAAATGCTTTTTTAGAAGCCTCCATGTTAGAGCCTGCAACCCCCCTCACTTTTTGAAGAAGTTAAAGAAAAAAAGAAAGAATGAGTGACCTGCCAGTTTCACAAATGAGGTATCAAAATATGCTCTAATAAATAAGATTTGTATGGCGCCAAATTCACTTGACAATCAAATGCTTAAGGCGCAGCTTGTGCAAAAGATGAAATACATGATAAATATGTATACACAACTGCAATAGAAAAGGTACATACATGAAAGGTAATGGTAATCAATTATAAGCTAAATTAAACAGACATTTCTTAAGATTGTCTCTTAATACTTCACCAGAACTGCTATTCTTAATCCATTGGGGGAGAGTATTTCATAATGAAGGCCCAGCATGAGCGAAGGTTCATTCCCCACTTTGTTTTAACCCTAGGAATATCAAGTAAGCCAGAGTTTTGAGAACGTAGCTGTCTAGAGAGAATGTAATGCATGATCAAGCCATATATACAGTGAAATAATAACAAAATATTCTTGAAAACAACAGGTTCTTCTACGCGCAACCAATAGAGTGATTTGAGGACCGGTGTGATGCGACTGTACTTGTAAGGGAGGGTCACGACACAAGCAGCAGTATTCTGTAATTTTTGTTATTTTGCAAGTAGGTTGTGATGCGGACCAACAAAAAGGCCATTACCAAAATCCAAGAGAGATGAGATTATTACAAGCATGAGTAATTTTCTCAGTGGCACTACGGTTAAGATATTTACGAATAAAACCTAAATTGCGTAACTGATAACGTACTGATGTTGAGACATATTGAATTTGTGTAGACATTGTCATATTCGAGTCGAGAAACACACCAAGGTTGCGGCATACATTGGATAAGGTAATTTCATGTCCAGCAAGAGTATTTGAAGTGATTGAAAGCTTCTCTATAAATTAAACCAAGTCTTAGAACCATACATTACAAATTCGCATTTTGCAAGATTTAATTTGAGTGAATGTGAGTGCAGCCAAATATGAACATCTTTTACACTAGTCTCAATGTTGTGGATAGCGCTGGCTGCATTGCTCTGATTGGATTTGAAAGCAGTATATGTTTGAATATCATCGGCATAAACATGATAAGCAAGAGAATGGTGATGAAAAATATTCTTCGAACCGATTAAATATAACGAAAACATGGTGGGCCCGCCCACAGACCCTTGCGGAACTCCGTACATAAGTGGTACACAATCTGAAAGGCTGCCATTTATCAAGACAGCTTGAGAATGACAAGACAGGTATGATTTAAACCATTCCAGGGCTTTAACCTCTAACACCGAGTGACAAAACAGTGTGGTTAACCAGGGCATGTGAGTACTCCCTGGGTTAACAGTGTCGAAGGCGGAAGACAAATCAAGGAGTACCATAGCAGTTCCGCCATGCATCCATCTCCTGGAGTATAAAGTTGAATACATTAACAAGGAGGGTTTCTACACTGTGGTGGGGGAGGTATGCAGATTGAAATGGGTCAAGGAGGTCATTATCGAGACAGTAATCATTTAATCTAAAAAAAAACACTACCCTATCAAGTATTTTAAACAAAAACGGGAGATTAGAAACTGGACGATAATTACTTATTAGTAATTCAGAATCAAGATTAGGTTTCTTCAGTAAAGGAAGAATGTGTACCGTTTTAACGACAAAAGGTACGCATGCCTGATAGATAATTAAGTTGACAATCTGTGAGATAACAGAGGCAAATGTCTAAAACCCCTGAGCTTCATTTGGCTCATCCCCTTTGACCCCACGCCAATTTATGCTCCACTCGCTATGCTCGCTACGCTCTACCTGATCGTAAATACCCAACTTTGAAAAAAGTTCCGCGGGGCCTGCAGGTAACATGTAAGATTTTTCTTCTGCCCCCCCTCCCCCCCCCCCCCCCACCAAAAAAAAAAGTTTTTGCTGATTACGCCACTGCCCCTGGAAGGTGAGCCCCTGGAATGTTTCTCCCCCCCCCCCCCCCCCATCGGGGCCTGCCTACGACGGCTCGGTGATCTTAATAACATATTACGTATTATGACCTAGGCCTTTATAAGGCAATGGACTAATACGTAGTTTTAACTCATATCAGTAAGTGTAGAACAAAAGTTCTACTGCTTCATTTTGCTTTATCAACATCAGCAAATGTCATTACCTTGTTTCCCCGGGAAAGAATGTAATAATGACATATGCTGATGGCTTTCCCGTTAGCCTAACACTTCCTCTCATTAACGTACAACTGCACACAACATACTACATAGTCTACTCACATACATTCGTGTCTTCTTCGTCTTCTTCACATTCGTATCTCAGTTCTGTGTTTAAAATCCAGACATTTTCATGCTCAAAACGATACAAAATATATCTCACCCGATATACAAGTAAGCTGCTATTCTACCTTTCGTAATGTATATTCCAAAAGCACGTTGACAAAGTCGATAATAAAAAAAATTGACGAAGACAAATATCAAATGCTCATATGTGCTTCAGATTTAATCAAGATGGCGTCGAGCTTGATATTGTCCAGCTTCAAACTAGTGCATATTGTGACATTCACATACATTTAAAAATTTGTTAGCGACATTCAATGACGTGTGCATACATTGCAAAAATATTGCAGGCAAAAGGCAAATTATTGTGTGAATTCTCGCTATCGCCCAAAATCTTCCGGTCGACAACTGTTCCTTTGTGTCGCGGTTAATATTCAATTTGACAAAAATAAATATGACTAAGCTCAGGCTGCTCACGTAGTCTTGGTTTAAGACGTTTCCGCTCACAAGCTCCAATTGATTAGCCATGCTTCAATCACCATGTACCCGAAAAGATCGTTAAGAAATAGTTATAAATATAATATTAATTGTTATCAATCGATGCAGGATAAAAGCATACCACGGCATTGAATCTCGCTATGTCTCTATCTCTTTAAAATATCTTCTTTCACTGGACTTCAAACTATCACTTTTCATAGATGGGAATTTATTATTTTACTGCAGATGCATTACGTGGTAATTGGGTACTGATTTGTAAATGTAACCCAATATAGTATTAGACTATTGGTAATAGTAATAGTACATGTAGTAGTAGTAGTAGTATTTTCAGTGGCAGTAGTAGTAGCAGTAGTATATTAGTAGTATTAGTTTCAGTGGCAGTAGTAGTAGTAGTAGTAGCAGTAGTATATTAGTAGTATTAGTTTTAGTGGCAGAAGTAGTAGTAGTAGTAGTACTAGTAGTAGTACTAGTAGTAGTATTAGTTTCAGTGGTAGTAGTAGTAGTAGTAGTAGTAGTATTAGCATATTGCTCCGGTTGTCTCATTTTCGCACGCTGGACGTATATAGCAGACTGCAATCGGCGGATCAGACGACACTTGGTAGGGAATTTGTATGTGAGATTGCTTTGCTAAATATAACATACAAGAACATTTTCCATCTCTTTAAACTATCGTTGATATCTGATGATTAAACAGTTATTGAAATAAACCTACCAAACTACATAATACAATGAAATACTTGACTTAAAGTAGGGGAGTTTGATGTGGTGCACAATTGCACCCCTCTGTAAATAATCGAATAGTCCATGGCGATCATAAATATTCATGTTTTTGATAACCTCGGCAAAATTCTTGCCTATACTAAATGGACAAATTAAGGTGGGGAATTGGCTGAAATGGACATAATGAACCGATCAGAACTGATCTATGATAATTCATGCTTGTTATCCTTCGTGTGCTTGACCTATTACCGTACAAACGCGTGTCAAATTGCGTCCAAAGTTCGACTTGTTTCACATGTGTTATATAGACAATGGCGAGCTAGCGACCTTTTTTGACCAAAGTACGGTGGGTGAAATTTCAAAAGTCAATGGGACATGAGGGTTCCAATGAAATAGCTAGTGTCAACGTACGTCGGGGTGGATGTGCTTGTCGTTTAAACAAAAAATGAATTTTTAACGATTTTGGGGGGTAAAAGTCAGTAGGCTAACATGTTAGGCTGCTGGACTCTGACGATAGGGGGCGTTGTCCAATGAGACTATTCGGAGCCATATGTTTCAGTGGCAGTAGTAGTAGTAGTAGTAATAGTAGTAGTAGGATATCAGAAGCTGTCGCAGAATTAATTGTATATGCAATACAACACTAGAAATTGCTGATTGTAGATGGGTCAACATTTTAAGACTCTTCGAAGAGGTACAGGAACATCAAGAAAAAGGAAGGAAAGTCATTGAAACTTGATTTCACAACTACATGTACGAGAAAGTAAGTTCATGTAATCTTTTTTTTTATTTTGATTTTGATTTTGATTTTATTTTCTTTTGCATTCATGTAATCGTGCAGTTTTTCGATAACAATAATGATATAAAGTACAATAAGTATTTTTCTGACAATGAATGATAGATAAGCAAATACATATATATAAATTGTTATTTTCAAAAACGAAATGATAAACTGTCAAAAATACTAAGTTTCCTCAAACATTATAAACCATTATAAAAATATTTGCGGAAGAAGGACTGTCATTGTAAACAGATTGCTTGATAAAACTCATGAAATATATTAACACATTTATTTAGCAGTAACGGATAGGTAATTGAAAATACAAATTTCGATGATGATGATGCAGATGAGAATGATGATGATGAAGATGATGATGAAGATGATGATGATGATAATGATAAAGATGATGACGATGGCGATGGTGATAATGATTCAAATGAAAGAAGAGATGACATGATAAGAATGAAGAGTTGACACAGAAATTCTACCTTGAGTATTCTAGAGCTGATAATAACATCGTTTTAACTTCGGCCTTAAATGAGTAGAGGGAGCAACAAGATTTGATAGATTCTTGGAGAGAGTTCCATTAGGTCGGGATCATGGTGTCTTATGGATCTATGGGCAATAAGTAATTTCGGGTTTACTAGATGAAAATTTGAGGAATTACGGTTAGGGTAAGAATGAATAGCTTTATTCATAATGTAAAAGTTTGAAATGAAAGAGGTAGCATATTATTTAAATACTTAAACATGATCAGTATTAAACTTAGTAGCAAATTTATGTCGAATACTGTTAAGGTTTTCAGTTTGTAGAATATTGGACTTGTTTGAGATAAATATGGTGAGCCAGTACATATACGAAAGGCTTTCTTTTGCAATAAACAAATAGAGTTGATTTTGGTTTTGGCGCTGGTGACCCATACTAAATTGCAATATATTATATACGGTAATATCAATGAATCATAAAGCATAACAAGCGTATAACACAGGATTAATTTCTTCATTTTATATAATAAACCAAGATTCCTAGAAATAGAAATAGTGATATGACGTATATTTGTATTCCAGTTTAGATTTTCATCGATAATGACACCCCAAAATTTAGTTGTTCTCTTTCTTTCGAGAGGGACATTATCTATACTTATGTCGTAAGGAAAGTCAATGACATGAAAATTTACGTGCTTGAAAAACATGAAATTTGTTTATTTATATTAAGAGATAACTTATAATAATAATAATAATAATTTTTGTCCTGTTTTCCGTGAGGGCCCTGCAATCATATCATTACCCCGGTCATCGGATTCAGGCTTACCCGCACACAATGTATGCACATTCTCCACTCCCGGGGGAGCATTCCAGCCAGTGCATCATTTTTACAAGCGCACATTAGCTTTCGCATCCTACCGGGTACCCATTTAACACCTAGGTGGAGAGTGGCAAATGTAGATCAATGTCTTGCCAAAGGACGTTAGTGCCGCGGTGGGACTTGAAACGCGGGCCGTGTGATCCACAGTCCGGTGACATATCCACTCGTCCACGACACCTCTACAATTGCATTGAAACCATAGAGATAATTTTGGTAACGCATTTATGGCACGCCTTTAAATAAATATATGCGACACTTTCAAAAAATATATTTCACTCAAATGTATATATTCGACATTTTTAGAAAATATTTGACAAGTTTTATTTGACAAGAATTTTATTCGACATAACTTTCATTCGACACATTGTTCGTCAAAAATTGTATTGTCGACAAATTTATTCGACAAAAAAAATTTTCGACAAAATTTCATTCGACAAAAATTTCATTCGACACAAATTTCATTCGACAAAAATTTCATTCGACACAAATTTCTTTCGACACAAATTTTATTCGACACAAATTTCATTCGACAAAAATTTAATTCGACACAAATTTTATTCGACACAAATTTTATTTAGCCAGAATACATGCGATACTTCACACAACTAAACCTGCACCGTGCACACCCGCGCAACAGGCGCGTTTACGATACGAAGACTATAGATCCACGTCGCGGCCTATAGCCTCTGGTCAATGAACAGTGGGTTTGGATTGTTTGAGGGTGATGAGAGATGAGAAGAGGGAGGGCAAAGTCATGTAGCCTGGATGGTTAGGGGCTTGTTGGGGGGGGGGGAGGGCGTTAAGGGGGCACAAATTAGTGTCTATTACCTACTTTGTTCATTTTTTATTTACTATATAGATTGTTTTAGGGTGATACAAATGAAGGTGTGGGCATACTGATGTAGTCACCCCGGGTAAGGAGCTGGTGGATGGGGGTGGGGGGGTGGGAGGGGAGTTACGTGGAAACGAAGTAGGTAATATACACTCCTTTATATTCCAATAACGCCACCCCCACCACCACCACTATCCCCTATCCACTCAATTCCAGTCTACATCACTATGCCCTCCCTCTTCTCATCATCCTCATGCAAACAATCCTACCCACTGTTAATAATTAATAAAATAGGTAATATACTCATACATACACTGTATACATACTCTTTTAAAAAAGCAGGCCATTGAACTTCAATACAATTCAATGTATTTCTCCACAAATGCCAAACATAGGAAAATACATAAAATCAAATACATACATGCAATAAAACGACTCCAATATTTATGTTTGAAATAGAAACAAATCAGCAAAGGTAGAAAGGGTAGTCGAGGACTACCCCCCCCCCCCCAATAATAATAACAAATTATACAATCAAAAGTAAATATATGAGGTGGTACCAATAACGAGAAAGAAGAGGGAGAAAATATCAAAGACGGGGGGGGGGGGAGTGCTTCCGTGAATGTTTAACAAAAAATAGTAATGGATTAATTACTTGAGTATCAGGAATGACCTTAACTTAGCCTCAATGAATACAATAAAGGACAATTTATATCAGGTGGAACATGACCCCATAACATATAGGCCAATTGAAGGCTTTCCGTTTTTGTAAGAAAGTCTTAGCTATTATGGGTATATGAAAACTACTTACATTTCTTGCCATAGAAGAGTTCTGTATAAAAAGGTCATCATAGACAGGTAGCAAGTTGTTATGTTTGTACTGGAACATGAATTGAACGAGCTGCATTAACATTTCAAATATTCATCCGTTTTGAAAGGGGTGCCGTATGTGCACAACCCCCCCCCCCCCTCCCCCCCCCCCCCACACACACACACACAAATAGGTCTGTAGATTCGATAACCAGTGTGTCACTTTAACACCCGCACGTGCGTCTTATATACACATGTGCATATAGAGCTGTTGACTGTATAGTTAGGAACTAGAAATAATAAAAACATTTCTTTTTTAAACATCACTTTATTGTTCAAACTTGCACAACAAAGGAGAAGATACAAAAGCCCAGGACAATTCCATTTTACTGGAAAATGCAGGGCATTAAAAGTACATACAGTGTATAATGTTATATAACATCAACAAAG